ATCTATCTTCTTTATGTTGCGCCTCAGTCTTAGCTTCCCTTTTCCACCCGTTGAAATGGGAATTATCTCCATGTAGTTCTCCTTCTACACTGCTTACCACAGCACCGTGCAGACTTAATGGCTTAATAAGTACTTTGTAATGTGATGAGGACAACAATTATAAAATATAGTGCAATCGTAGACATTCTAATGCCTGACATTTAAAAATATTTACAGAAACCTCTCCATTTTGTTTTACTCTTTTTTTCAAAGATCAAGATTAAAGCATCAGGCCAGGTGGGATGGCTCAGGCCTGTAATCCTAGCCCTCTGGGAGGCTGAAGCAGGAGGATCGCTTGAGGCCAGGAGGTTGCAGTGGACTATGATGATGCCATTGCACTCTAGCCCAGGCAAGGGAGCAAGATTCTGTCTCCAAAAAAAAAAAAGAGGATTAAAGCATCAGTTTTGACAGAAGAAAATTAATTAAATCTCTCTAGGGTCAATTCCTAGTAAAAGTGTTACTAATAGTTAATTAAGCTTAGGGGAATCCTAGGAGAAGCAGCTTTCTTCCTTGGTCCCCAATAGCCAGGTTTAACTCAGTTTATTCAAAAAATTTTGAGATTCAAGTGAATAAAGAAATAGTTGAAATAAAGGCTAAAATTGTAGCCCTTGGGAAGACTGTAGTATTCTTCCTTTTTAAAGTGTATTTAAAAGAAAAAAATTTAAGAGACGAAAGGTGATAACTTGTTCACAAATAAGATTTACTTAGGTTATGGTGTCTAGAATTCATTACTTGGCATGTCGCTTCAAGAAAGAGCAATAAAAGAGAAGATGGGGGTTGGAGAGGTCCCTTATGCCAAGTGCAGCTGAAAACTGTTAACATTATCTGATCTTTTATTTTTGCAACTCAAGGTGAGAACAGAAAGTCCCTTCATTAGGACAAAGACTGACACTCAGATATTTGGGTGTCTCTCCCGTGAACAAAGATGAGTTCTCATTACCAAGGCACGCAGGGACTGCACATCTTCACGTCGCCACATCAGAATGACCAGTGAATTCATCAACCCTAACACCAGCTGTCACTTAACCCCAGGGCTCGAACAATTTTTGGTCACTGAGGATATACGTGCTATTGACCAAACGCTTTTTAGTGAAGAATTTGTTCTCAAGGGTTCACTCTATGATTGATGTGTACCTAGTCATATTAGAAACACATAGTTTTTTAGAAAACTATCAGCTCCTCATTTTACTGAGAGCCGCCGAGTCAGCTCACAGTCAAATGAGCTGACAATTCTGTGTTACTCCTACTCTCCATTTCCTCTTCCACCTCCCCCAGCGATTTTTGACCGTTTCCCTGTTCATTAGCTTCTCTAACAGCACATAGAAGAGATTTTAAAAGTCGAAGCTCAAACGAGAATTTAACCCACATGAAAGCAGCAGGTGCGGGAAGGGCTTCCGCGAGGGCGGTGATGAAAGCGTATTTGCTGGGAACTGAAGACGTGCATTTCAACTGGCCATTCTTTTGAATTCTCCTGATAAGAATTTTTTTTAGAATTAGCCACCCAAAGAAACAGCAATTTTGAGCCAGGCAAGCCAGCAACTGTGGATTATAAACTACTCGAGAGTAGGAACTTTGTCATTTGAACTCCCTGACTGGGGAGCCAAGCGCCAAAACATTCCAAGTTTGTTTCTCTCAAAGATGACACTGTCCCGGAGACAGGGGCGGCTGTCTCAGGAGTTCAGGAGTGGGGTCATTAGGTTGCCTGGTCATTGACACTTACCAGGCCCAGGGAGCAGGAAACAAGGAAGAAGAGGAAGAGCTAGTTGTCTTTTGCACCCTAAAATTGTTTTCCCAAAGGCCTGCCTCTGATACTGAGATGTTCCCATTCAAGAGATGGCCATTCAAGTTGCTACCTACTGCAGTACAAATATTCCCTGGGAGAGTAACGTGAATAAACCGTAATCTTTCCATGCTACTACAGTATGATTTCTGTAATGGGATTCTATTTTAGCGTGACAATCGCCTGAGAGCAAATTTGGATAGTGTGTAGGAGAGAGGGTGACATGAGTTGGAGAGACGGAGGGAAGGAAGGAGATGGTGCAGGAACCAAGGAGGGAAAATTGTGCAATGTGCTTCCTGTCCAGGAAGACTGAGAATCTTGGCCAAGCACAGCGAGTGCCTCTTGTTTGCCAGCGAGCTGCACGAGGGGGTTGGGCTGCCAAGCCCGAGGAGGAAGGCTCCTGAAATAAATGTCATCTTCACAGCTTCGTTTAGATGTGGTCCTTGGCCACCTGGAGAGTAGAGAGGATGACAAGGCTTTGGCTTTGGTGACAGGTCAAGCCAGGGAAGAAGGGAGTGAAGAACTGGAGGGGAGCTCAGGCCTATCACGATGTGTGTGAGTTGCAGCTGGGATCAGGAACTGGACTGTCGAGATTTGTGCTGTGAACAACAGAGAAGTTTGGTGAGCTGATGGAGACGCGTGGGACGTGGCACTGAGAACCAGACCAGGATTCTGGATGTTGGGGTGCAATGGTGGGAGCCCCATGGCTGGGAAAAACTGTATTGGTCTCTGCTTTACCGTCTCGCTCTTTGGCATTGTGCACTCTGTGTTTTTTTCCCTTTTATCATTTGTGTTTGTCTCTTCTCCTGTGCTTCCTCTCTTATTTATGTTAACACAGTGTTCTCAAGGTTTTTCGATGGGTGGCATGTGTCAGGCTCTCATTCTTTTTTAAGGCTGAATATATCCCATTGTGCAGACAGACCGCGTCTTGCTTTTCCGTTCATCTGTTCATGAATTCTTGGCTTGTGTCACCTCTTGACTACTGTGCCGGCTTTCCCTTTCTCACTGTCCCTTCCTCTTTTCCTCAGTTGTACATATCAGGAAACAAATATGTTTTAAATCATTTATTTACTAAATAAATCATCAGAAGAAAGGTGGGAAACAGCATATGGGAACCAGGTTAGCAGGTTGGTATCCAGTTAACTGTAAGATCCTGGACAAGTTAAATAATCTCTCAGAGCCTCTGTTGAGAGATTTGTTTTAGATACACAAAGGCAAATGCCCTTCTGTGATCTATGATGTCTTGTTTTCTATTCTTATGTTTAAAGCAGGCGGGTGAAACTGTTATCTCAAATCAAGTAGATTGTTCCTCATTTCTATGAGAATATTTTGGATATTTTTCCCATTGAGTAAGTGATACTGTAGGAGAAAAGCTCTCTACTTCTAAGTTCTTTTTATGAGTCACTTATATTTTCAACTTGTACTGCCTTTTCCTCCTAATGAGTTTCATAAATTTTCTGTAGATAAACTTTAAGATTGTGTCTTTTAAACTTTAGCCTCAATCAAGTATTTTTAATGCACAAATATTCATTGAGCACTGTGTGTGTTCAAAATTATGTTAGTCACCATGGAGGATTTAGAAAAAAAAAAAGAGCTGCATAAGATAATGGTACTGCTCTTATGAAACTCAAAGCCTTGTCAAATGTGTCTTTAGGTTTTGGGGGATTATTGCTTTTAAAATTTCCTTTCAATTCATTCTAACTTAGATTTGGATTTTATCTTCATTACTATTTATAAAATTGATTACTTCTGTGATATGTCTTTGGGTTTCCTTCCCCATTCAGAACACCATATTTTTTTTGTCTGATGCTAACACATGGCCAGTCACTCATAAGCTGCTGCGCTTGCACGTGTGGCATGATAGAATGTTCTGTATTTCACCCATGAAGGCAGGCCATGAAGAAATAGAAACAAAATTTTCATATGATTCAAAAACATGTTGAGTCTGTGCGCCAGCAGTCTTAAAGGATCAAGCAGTCTCTTACTCTGGAAAGATGAAGAATGTAAGAGCAATCTGACCAAAGGCTATCAAAGACAGATTTCAATGAAAGGATACCAGAACTAGGGAGCATCCAACAGAACTTGAAAATGAAGACTGGACCAGTTAAAGAAGTGCACTGCTGAGGTCCCTGTGAGAGGCACAGATTGTGACTGTCGTTCCAAATTCCAGTCTGCTGGAAGGACACCACAGCACTTTAAGGAGGAACACACAGACAGAAGAGCCCTCCTGCATGTGGTGAGGGGGCTGCGGTTGCATGTGACCACGTCAGCTGCACGCAGTCTCTCCGGAGCCAGAGGAGCTCATGTTAAAAGTGCTGTTACAGGCTGAACCACATACCTCCCAAAATGTGTTTGTTGAAGTCCTAACCCCTAGTATTTGGAGATAGGGTCTTTACAGGGGTCATTAAATTAAAATGAGGTCATGAGGCCAGTCTTAATCCAATATTATTGATGTCCTCATATGAAGAGGAAATTTGGACACAGACATGCACGAAGGAAAGACCACGTGAGGACACAGAGAGAAGGTGTCATCTACAAGCCACGGAGAGAGGACTCAGAAGGAACCAACCCTGCCGGCACCTTGATCTTAGATGTCCAGCCTACAGGACTGTGGTAGTTTGTTATGGCAGCCCTAGCAAAGTAATATGGTGGCAATGCATGCCTTAATTTTATTTATTTAACAAACATTTATGTAGAGCTTAGTATATGCCAGGCACACTTCTAAGCACTTTACAAATACAACTTAATCCTTATAACAAAGCTATGCGGTTGGGAGTACCAGCGTTCCCATTTTACAGATAAGGTAACCAAAGCACAAAGAGATTCAGTAACTTGCCCATCACCTCATACTTGGTGTAAGTAAAGGAGCAGGATTTGAACCTGCACAGTCTCACCTGAGCCCACTTGAGACCCACTCTACACATTCGCTCTCGGTGTCTTCTGGGATTTAATTGGGGCTTCCAAGATACAGGCTAAAACTTGTCTCCACAGAGGGTGTGTGTGTGTGTAAAATCTAATACCTCACTGTCCCTTACTGCCAGGTAGATCAAAATCACATTTCATAATCTCCTAGATGTTTAACCTTCACATCAAGAAAAGCAATGCAGGGTTCCTACAAAATACCTGCTGCTCCTTTACGAGGGGATTCTCCAGGCTTTGGACAAAGATTCGCATTTCTTACCCAGCAACATTCCGCAGAGGCATGAGAGGGGTGATGTTGTCTTCTCTGTTAACAACACAGATAACTTCTTCCAGCTATGCAGACCTTAAGGAATGGCACTCGAGGCCGCGCTCTGCAGTCCGGCCTTTTCTGTCCGCAACTTGCCTGTGAACCAACAGCCAAGCGAGGTGTGTGCAGATGCCTGATCTCAGCGAACGGAAAATCTCTGCACAGAATCAACCGGAGCAGCCCAAACTTCATTACTAGCATTCTAGAACACGAGTAACTGGCGAGGGGGCAGCGATCACCGCAGGGAGAGAGGGAACTCTTCGTGTCTGCCCAGGAAATGCAAGGGTTTCCAAGCCTGTGGTGTCTCGGCGGTATTTTCCACCAGGAGACCAGGCGCTGGACCGCGGTTCGGTGGGACAGTTAATTCCTTTCTAATTGTCAAGTGGCAGGGAAGTACACACGTCCAAAGTGCTGAGCCAGCCCCTTCGCCCTGGCCGCACCCGCCGCAAACCTCCCCGCGCCTGCCCGCGAGTTTCGGGGTTAAGGCTTTGTTCGCAGCCTCACGTCACGGGAGAGGAGCCAGAAACACACCTCTCTCCCTCTGCCCGACAGGTGACTCACCGAGCTTTATGGAGGTGACCGAGAGACCAGGGAGGGCGCAGAGGCCAGGATGGTGCCAGCAAGTTTGGGCTTTAATGAAGCGACATTCTCAGATGGAAAAGATGGAGCTGAGGGAAGGGCTTCTCCCCACACAAGTTCGCAGCCTTTCTCTCCCCAGGAGGTGATGCCCGGCCCCACGCCGCGCGGGGAGGGGGAGGGGACGGCCCCACGCCGCGCGGGGAGGGGGAGGGGACGGCCCCACGCCGCGCGGGGAGGGGGAGGGGACGGCCCCACGCCGCGCGGGGAGAGACGCCGCGGTGGAGAACGGCCCCGCCGCGCGAGGAGGACGGCCCCGCGCCGCCCGAGGGGGAGGACTGGCTCACGTCGCTGCTCTGGTGTGGAGGGGAGGGGAGGGTGGCCCACGCCCCCTGGGTGTGTTGTGGGACGGGCCCACGCCTGCTGTGTGTGTTATGTGTGTGGGGAGGGGAACGGGCCCCACGCGCGCGGGGAGGGAGGGGGACGGTGTGTGTTGTGCCCCCCACGCCGGCGGGTGGGATGTGTGTGCTCATTTGGCGCTGTGAGGGTGGGTGTCGGCACGCGGGGAGGTGGTGTATGTTTGTGGGAACGCTACGCGCGCGGGAGGAGCGGCCCATGCTGCGTGTATGGTGGGAGGGAGGCCCACGCCGCGCGGGTTAGGGGATGGGTGATGGATCAGCCCCCATGTGCGCTGCGTGGTGGGAGGCGGCGGTGCGGCCTGCTGTGATCGTGCCTGCGCTGAAACGGGGTAGTGCCGCCTCCCGCCAGGCGTCGGGCGATGGCGTCCTGTGAATGAAGCTATGACACCTGAGAACAGGAGAAAACACCATGAAACGTGGCTTCTGCCCCGTTCGCCAGCTAGCAAGGAAACACTCCGTAGGAAAGCGGGGCTCAGCCCGACCTCGCGCCGCGGAGGCGCGCCGGGACGCGGCAGGCGGGCGGCCGGCGCAGAGGCGCTTGAGCCGTCACGGCCGCTCCCACGGGCCCCGCTCCCACCGGCCCCCGCTCCACGGCCCCGCTCGCACCGGCGCCCGGTCCCACGCCCCGCTCCGCACCGGCGCCCCTCCCCACGGCCCCCGCTCCGGCACGCCGCCGTCCCCACCGGCCCGGCCGCTCCGGGCGCCGCTCCCAGGGCCCCCGCTCCCCCACGGGCCCGCCGTCCCACCGGCGGCCGCTCCCACGGCCGCCCGCTCCCCACGGGCCCCCCCGCTCCCCAGGGCCCCCGCTCCCCACGGGGCCCCCCGCTCCCCGCCGCCGGCGCCGCGCGCCACGGGCCGCTCTCGCACCGGCTCTCTCCTCCCGCGTCCCGCACGGCCCCCGCGCTCGGCACGGGCCCCCCGTCACCCACGGGCGGCCGCCCGTCAGACGCCCCGCTCCCACGGGCCCGCGCGGCGCTCCACGCGCGCCCCCCCCCGCTCCCCACGGCCCCGTCCCCACCGGCCCGCCCGTCCCACGGCCCCGCTGCACCGGCCCCCGCTGCCCACGGCCTGCTCCCACGGGCCGCCGCTCGCACGGCGCGCCGTCCCACGGCCCCCGCGTCGCACGTCGCGCCGCTCCCACGGCCTGGGTCCGCTCCCACGGGCCCCCGTCCCCACGGCCCCGCTGCCACCGCCGCTCAGTCGGGGCGGGCTCAGCAGTGGTCTGATCTGTGGTAGTGTTATGTGTCTTTATTTGTGTAGCCCGTTCACTTCAGGCAAACCTAAGAAGCCAGGTCAGGGTCATCCACACCACACAGGTGAGGACACTTCTTAAGGAGCCAGTTCAGAAAATTTTATAAGCGTCCAGGGAAACATTTCTGTAACTTAAACCTTTTTAGGGCTGTGGTATCTTTGGAGATGTTGCTAGAGAATGGAGTTACAGGTAAGGTCAAGGCTGGGTTGGCTGCTTCTCTGGGTGATTTACCCCAAATGGAAGGGTCTGGAGAATTCTAGTCATTCGCATCATGCTGAAGGCCAAATGAAAGGCCGCCCCCTTTACCCCTCCACCCCCTCTGTTCAACTGCAGCTCTTTATCACTGTCTTAGGGAGTTATCGTGAAAACACAGCAGGGAGCTTTATGTTCCTTCAGGTCCTCCTAACTCGAATAGCAACATTGCTCGTTTATCATCTCGAGCTAAGTCAGGCAATACCTGCTGTGCAGGATTTCTCGGCAAAATAATTTACTGCAAGAAACTGTCAATTGCTTGTCTGCCTCGGTGACTCCAAAGAGATTGACAAAGACCAGAGATATGAAAGGAAAATATTTTCGAAATAAAATCAGAGTCCCTGCTCCCTCTGCTCGGCACCACTCTTATCTTTTGTGAATAATTCTAAGATTCTTACTCCAGATTGAAAGCTCACCCTGATGCCTTTCCATGAGGAATATTCATATAATTGGATATTTGTTTGTTACTTATTTCAGTAATCAATTTATTTTAGATGGAGCTAAGTATATGGGAGGTGAACCAATTTGCATGTACTTTTTGGTAAGAAAAAGAGTTTCATCCTACCATAAGTGAGGCTAAAATTCCCACAAAGAAGCATCCTATGTGAGGCACTTTACAAAAGGAACATGCACATTTCCTAATAATTATTTTAGTACATTGGGTTCAATTGGAGCTGATAAAATGGTCTTATAAGGTTATTCTTTTTTAAAAAAAAGAAAGCTGATATTGATGCAAGTGACTAAATGTTCTCTCACCTGAGCTAACTCGTGTTGGCTAAATTGTGCTGATGGATTGCATAACCGAATTAGGAACTGGGAATGCCAGCAACCCATTTGAGGTTCAAAGAGCAATGGAGTTAAAATAACTGTGGCCACCAAAGTATTGAGTCAAGAAGATTCTCTGGGTTCATGGAGTGATTTGGAGAGAAAGTAAAAGAAATTCTGTGGTTATGTGGCAGAGGAGAAAGATTTCTGAGTCAAGAGATCTAGCTTCGGTTTCTAGCTTTTATCACTATACTACCTAGCTGTGTGACTCTGGGAATTTACTTCTTTTCTCTGGGCTTCATCTGGAGAATGAGGTGCTTGGGGTAGCTGATCTCTAATATCCCTCTCATGACTAACAGTCTGTGAAATCTTACATTAATTTACAGTATGCTGGTTTTGATCAGTGATCCAATTTTCATTAATAAATGATTTAACTAAATTAAAATGTATACTACATTAGAATGCTTGATTTAATTTTCTAATCCCTGCATTCAACTTGGTTAACCAGGCTATTTAAGTAGTTTAGGAGTAGAAACTTCCAGATGGAATTAATGTGGTAGGGAGCCTATCAGAGCCAATTGCCAAAATAGGATGGAGACCTTAAAGAAAAGGGTGAAGGTATATAATACTTGTCTCAGTTTTAGCAGCAAGAATATCAGAGTTAGGGAATTTGAAGAAGGCCAAGATAGGAAAATAGGTGCTCATGAACATTCTTTCCTTTTGGAACAAAAGCTTTGGTTTAAAAGAATAAAGAAAACAGGGGATGATCAAAAGGAACATTTCTAACATTGAAGAAATAAATTAATGTAAGAAATATTCTTGATATTTCATAGGCTATAAGCAAAGACATAAAACTTCTTCATTAAAGGTGGTAATCTGAATAAATGTTAGCCTGTAATCTCTTTGGAAACCTAATTTTTATGAGCTCAACTGGTAAACTTCAAAATCCCCATTAAAAGAAGGAATTCCATTAAAACTATGGAAATTAAGACATTGGAGCAGAAGTGGGGGAAGACGGATATACAGTAAGTCCTCACTGCTCTCAGCAGCTTCTTGGAAACTGTGACTTTAAGCAAAATGATGTATAACAGAGCCAATTTTTAATTTACTTTTTTATTGAGGTAAAATATACACATAAAATTAATCATTTTTACCATTTGTGAGTTTACAGTTCAGTGTTAATACATTTGTATGCTTTTTTCCCTTTATCCCCCCAATCTGCCCTCCCCCTCCCAGCCTCTGGTAACCACTAATCTTATCTCCATGAAATCCCTTTTCTAGCTCCGACATGAGTGAGAATGAGAACGTTTGATATTTGTTTTCTGTGTGCTTGGCTTTTTTCACTTAACATAATGTCCTCTAGATCCGTCCATGTTGTCACCAATGACAACATAGCTTTCTTTTTTTAAGGCCGAAGAATATTCCATTGTGTATATGTACCACATTTTCTTTATCCATTCATCTGTTGATAGGCACTTAGGTTGATTCCATATTTTGGCTGTTGTGAATAGTGCTGCAAAAAACATGGGAGTGCAGATATCTCTTCGATATATCCATTTCCTTTTTTTGGATATATACCCAGTAGTGGGGTTGGTGGATCATATGGCAGTTCTATTTTTATTTTTTGAGGAACCTCCATACTGTTCTCCAGTACTGTGGTTGCACTAATTTACATTCCCACCAACAGTGTGCAAGGCTTCCCCCTTTCTCCACATCCTTGCCAGCATCTGCTAGTGCCTATACTTTTTATACAAGCCATTTCAACGGGGGTGAGATAATATTGCATTGCGGTTTTAGTTTGCATTTCTCTGATGATTAGTGATGTTGAACATTTCTGCAAATGTCTGTTGGCCATTTGTATGTCTTCTTTTGAGAAATGCCTTTCCAGATCTTTTGCCCACTTTTTAATTGGATTATTTGATGTTGGTTTTTTTTTCTTTCCATTGAGTTGTTTGAGCTTCTTTTATATTCTAATTATTAATTCCTTGTCAGATGGGTAGTTCACAGATATTTTCTTGCACTCTTTGGTTGTCTCTTCATTTTGTTGATTGTTTCCTTTGCTATGCAGAAGCTTTTGAGCTTCATGTAATCTCAGTTGTGTATTTTTGCTTTGATTGCCTGTGCTTTTGAGGTCTTACAGAAAAAAATCTTTGCCCAGACCAATGTTTCCCCAAAGTTTTCTTCTACTAGTTTCATAGTTTCAGGTCTTAGATTTAAGTCTTTAATCCACTTTTATTTGATTTTTGAGTGCAGTAAGAGATGGGGGTCTAGTTTCATTCTTCTACATATAGTTATACAGTTTTACTAGTATCATTTATTAAAAAGACTGTCATTTCCACATTGTATATTCTTGGTGTCTTTGTCAAAGATGAGTTGGCTATACATACATGGAATTATATCTGGGTTCTCTATTCTGTTTCATTGGTCTAGAACTCTAGGTGTTTGTTTTTATTCCACTACCATGCTGCTTTGCTTACTGCAACTTTGTAGCAAATTTTGAAGTCAGGTAGTATGATGTCTCCAGCTTTGTTCTTTTTGCTTAGGATTGCTTTGGCTATTTCAGGTCTTTGCAGTTCCATATAAATTTTAGGACTTTCTTCTATTTCTGTGAAGAATGTCATTGGTATTTTGATAGGGATTACATTGAAGAAACCAGTTTTGGCAGAGGCTAATGGATAAACAAGAGTTAAGTTCCTGTGGCATATTTTTGGTCACAAAAACAATACCAAACTTCTAAATAAAGACCAAAACTTCTAATACTAAATATTGAAATGATGTGAGCTATGCAAACATTTAAGAAAGATTAATAAAAACAAGTGAGATAATGATTTACCAGCTTATTCTAGTTCAGGGTTGCAGTGGCCGGAGCCTCTCCTGGCAGCTCAGGGCACAAGGCAGGAACCTGCCCGGGCGCAGGACCCCAGCCCACCACAGGCAGCACTCACACACACCCACGCTCGCTCCTCCCAGTTCACTCCGTGTGCACATCTTTGGATAGAGACGGAAACCGGACACAGACGTGGGGAAAACGAACAAACTCCACACAGATTGTGGCACAGCGTGGAGTCAGATTTTTTTGTTTTTTCACCATGAGAACGAACCAAGGTAAAACTAAATGATATTATTTGAAAACCTGCTGTATTATCAAAAATCAAAAGGTTCACATTATGAACTGTGAAGGGCTAACCAGCCAGGCTGCAGTGGGCCCAGGAACAGATCAGCTGCCTCTCTTAGGGTGAGTTCCCTGAGAAATAGACTCTGGGACAGGACATTTGCTGCAGAAGGTTCCCTGGGCCTGCTCTCTGCAACACCTTCGACTGGTGAGAGAGGTCTTGGGGTTGCAACAGAGGCCTCCACTGATCCCACAGAAAGTTCTGGAGCTGGGATGGCCTTTCAAAGTTAAGGCCTTTCAAAGTTAATTAAGGCAGGGAGGCTGGGCCTTTGTCGCCCACATCAACTGGCCATTGGCTGGCTGTAAGCTGCTCCTGGGGAGCGCAGGTCACCTTGCAAGCCAAGCAGCTCCCTGTGGCTGAGACCAAAGCCCGTGAGAAACTGGGAGCAGCCGGTGCAGGCTGCTGGGGCAGGAAGCGAAGGCCTCTGGGGCCAGCACCACAGCACCCTCTGCGCTGCCTGATAGCGTGGGAATCATCTCTTCAATGGATAAAGTATTAGTACTGTGTAATCTAGTAACAGAACCTCAACTAGTAAGAGCTCAGCTCCCCAAGCAACCCCACCTATTTGGAATACATCCCCCCCAAAAGAGAGAAAAAATGTCTTTGAGCAGACAAAATAGATGTCACCAGGCCTATGCACTGAAGTTAATGAACTCTATTCATGTGGGAGTCTCTGCACAAGAAACCTGGCAATAATAGTTCTTATGATCATATCCATTTAAAAATCACAAATTAAGAGAGGTAATTAAAAAACCCTTAACATAGAGCATGAGATGCTACAAAATCGTCCAGATCACAGCTCATTACTGTCATTGGTCTTTGTAATGATTATGTCTTCAAGAAAATGGTATTCTATACATTTGTTTGTATGGGGAGAACAGATTTCAGGATGATTTCCTTCCAGGATAGTTATTTTTAATTATTATGGATACGTAATACATGTATATCTTTCTAGGGTACATGTGATGTTTTGATGCAGGCATACAATGTGAATTAATTAAATCAGGGTAATTGGGACATCTGTCACCTCAGGCATTTAACATTTCTTTGGGTTAGGAACATTCCGATTCCACTCTTTTAGTTATTTTAAAGTATACCCTAATTTATTATTGATTATAGACACTTTGTTGTGTTATCAAATATTGTTCATTCTGTTTATCTACAGAATAGCTAATTTTTTAAAAGCTCAACTGTTTATTCATAGCCACCCAGAAACTTGGCTCTCCAAACTGCACCTGTTGTCTGAAGGTTCTGTGTGGCCACGTTTCACTGTATGCATAGACATGGAAGCTAGCCCCTTGGGTGGGCCCGCCGGCCCGACGCCCGCCCGCAGCCGCACTCTGGCGGGACTGTCGCCCTGCGCAGCGACGGTCCGTCTGCTCGTGTGATGGGCACAGCTTGAAAGCGCTGAGAGCTTGTTTGACTTCACAGGCAGCTTTGCTTGTCATGTAAGTCAGAATAGGTAACATAGACATACATGTTTTCATCACGTTATGTTTACATGGTCACAATTTTACTTTGATAAATGAAACAGTAGTAGTCACATCGCGGCCGTCGGCTGGCGTCGCTGTGCGCATGCGTCGGTGGCGGCGGCTACAGTCGACGCTGGCACGGAAGTGGTTAGAGGTTACGGACGTGGCTTCCCCGGGCTGTATCAGGTAGGTGTTCTCACCTAAGATCTGCGGCAGGGCCTCCACACCCTGTTTCTTCTCCTCCTTAATCAGGTCCTCCCGGGCTGCAGGCCCGAAGCCCTGGGGCGCCCGCGGCCTGCGGAGACGCGCGCTCACAGCGGTGCGCGGCGGTGCGGGGAGGTGCGCGGCGGTGCGGGGAGGTGCGCGGCGGTGCGGGGCGGTGCGGGGCGGTGCGCGGCGGTGCGGGGCGGTGCGCGGCGGTGCGGGGCGGTGCGTGGCGCTGGGAGAGCGGGCGAGCTCCCTGTGTTTGGCCGCTCCCCACCCACGTGGCGTCTCCGCACAAGCCCGCCTCCTGCCAGACCGGCGAGGCCGCGGCTGTCCCAGGAGCCGCCCAGGGCCCGCTGCCCCGATCGCGCTGCGCTCCCCGTGGGATCCAGTGCCAGCTGATCCGAGGGAGCTGGGCGGCGGTGCTGGCGCTGGGAGCGGCTGCGAGTACAGATGAGCACTCGCAGAGAGGTCTGACTGCACAAGAAATGCAATGCGCTTGAATCATCCCGGAACCCTCCCCCCACCCCCTGTGGAAAGTTGTCTTCCATGAAACTGGTCCCTGGTGCCAAAAGGTGGGGGACTGCTGCCCTCGGGAGTATACTTGATTAGCAAAACAGGTATGTGTCCTTTCAGGAGAATCAGACGATGCGATTGCAGGGAGTCAGGAGCCTGCTCTTTGCTTACCGGCCATCTCACCCTTGCTAACCTGGCTTTAAAAACCTTTCCGCTGGCAGGTAGAATCCTGCCTGGCTAAGTCATCCATTCAGTCAAAAGTGGCTATTTGGGGAAAAGTAGAGATGAGGAAGGCACAGTGAAAGCAGGTCTCTGACCAGCTTTCAGAGCGAGCCGTAGTCGCCTTTCCACTGACTCACCTAAGTATGAGGAGAAAGTATTCCTGAAAATTTATCTTGCTGGAGAGTCAATGGAAGTACATTTTTTGTGAAACGCTGAATCATTCTGGTGCATGCAGCCAGAAGTTTATGCAATTCCTCTTTTATCACCGGAAGATCTTTAGTAATTGTGGGCACTCCTCTTATTTCAATAACTTCAGAGAGGGATTGTTGACACCTTAGATTAAGCCAGTGGACACCTGCCACCTTTTTCCATTCATAAAGTCAAAGAACTAGGATGCGCTGAAAACCTGAAAGTCATTAAAGGACTGACCTTTAAGATTTTTTTTTTTA